GAAAAACCGGTACCTTACGCGTAGCCACGGGGCGAGATGTACCTCTTTGTGTTGAACCAGCGCCAGCAAACTTAACGTCCATGCGCCAGAAAGATCATCAAAGTCAAGTTTTTAACCTGGTTTGAATTGTTATTGATTGAATCTTGTACAAATTTGGTCGAAGTAGTCTACACATCTTCGTCAAATTCTATTGAACAAATTGACTTTAAAATGTGAATGTCAAGCTGTAAATTTGATCTGGAAGGCAGTTTCGGTGACGTCTGTTATGACGGTCAGTGGGACACGCGGGGCGGCTGAGGACCAAGCGGGACTCGGGTGCACTGACCCCGCGCGCACCTGTGACACGGGGGTGCCAATTGGGATGGCCGTTCCGTTCAGGGGCAGCGGTAGGCAGCAGCGGTACCCCGGGGCGACCGCGGCGCGGGCCTCGCAGACTCCGCGCGGCAGAGCGGCGTGCAGCACGGCGCAGAGCACAGCCGCGGCGCGGCCCACCACGAGCAGCCCGAGGACACGGTACCCGCCGCGCACCATGACCCGCTGGACCAGGTTCGTCTCGGACGCCGCGGTCCTCCCGGCCCGAGTCCTCGTCGCGGTCCTCACCCTCACGCGCCCTCTCCGTCTGTCGCAGGCTGCTGCTGCTGCCGGCCCTGCTGGCGTGCCTGTGGCCTTCCCCCGGCCCCGGGCCCTCCGCGTCCCTGGTGCAGGCGGCGCCCTGGGACGGCATCGTCGGCTTCCTGCAGGCGGTGGCGCGGCTCCAAGAGAGGCCCATCGTCCGGCCCGAGTGAGTCCAGGTCCAGGAGTAGGAGTCCAGGCCCACCTGCATGGAGATGCCCGGGATTGAAACGGGTAGGATGTTCACTACTTCCGCGTCCCCTGGTCAACTTTCCAGATCGGCGGAGGACGAGTCGGAGGAGGATGACGACAGGCCCCTGCGGAAGATTGTATACGCCGTGGAGGAACAGGTGTCTGACAACGACGTCACTGCGAACGCCAGTGTGGTGGTGTACGACAGCCTGCTACCGGCCACGCCCCGACCAGGTGAGTAAAGGGGTGCTGATCAAGAGAACAATATATTGTTTCGATCTTATATCGTACCATATCACCTTTTGATTTACTTTTACAAGTTGGTGAGGTGGACTTGGACACGACCCACGCCAGAGGCAAACGGTCTGTGGAGGAGCCCACTACAGCCGTGAGCGACAAGGCGACCGGCAGAGCCACGGGCGCCATCGCCACGCGCCCTTTTCTAATCGGACGTAGACTCTGGTAACACATCATACTAGTTACAGTTACAATTCGGTGAAGTGGAAGGAAAATAATCGTTTCAATTTTCTAATCTCTCTTTTCAGGTATGTTCCATTGTGGTTCAGTGTTTACCTCATCCTGTACATTCTGGCACTGACTGTGAAATCAGTTGCAAGGCACAGGATAAAATATCCCACCCTTGTAGCGGAAGATGCATTTCTGAAACGGAGGAATGGCTATGTAAAACCGGACAGTTTAACAAGAAGAGTAACCAATGCCATTACAAATGCAGAACGGAGGTATCAAGGACAATGGACCATGTAAAATATATCCTGGAAAAATTCTGTTAATGCACACGGATGTTATCAATGTGTTGATTTAACAGGCAAAAAAAATAAATCAAAACCAGAATATTGACATGTTTGTTGCTACTTAAATTTATTCCTGCCTTATATACATGTCTTAGAATACCTTTAAAATAATTATTATAACACCTACTTTCAGAACATACCATGAAACAATAACATTTAAAACATTGTGCCACAATTTATCAATGTGTTGATTTAACAGGCAAAAAAAATAAATCAAAACCAGAATATTGACATGTTTGTTGCTACTTATATTTATTCCTGCCTTATATACATGTCTTAGAATACCTTTAAAATAATTATTATAACACCTACTTTCAGAACATACCATGAAACAATAACATTTAAAACATTGTGCCACAATTTACAAATTTGTATCTAAGGTACTGTGATCAGTCTTGTCATGAAGAAAATAAGTTGTCACATTTGCTTCCTAAATAACAACTGTGTTGCCATTACCCTTACAGTTACACCAACTGGGTGCCTTTAGCCGACCAGTCCCATGAGGAATGTGACCCCAACTAGATCAGATTTTATCTGACAATGGTGGTCAACCAACATGACAAAACAAGAGGCAAAAATACAATTTATCTAGGCTTGAGCTTCACTGCGTTAAAAGCACAACATTCAATATTGTGCAAATTACTACAAGGAGAGGGTCTACATCAAACACCTCCACCACACACAATTACATATTCAAGTTAGCCAAGAGAACACTGTTAAAGTAATCACTACAAATGACAGACTACCTACTATGGCCATGAGAGACAGGCAAGTTTCTCCTATCTAGCTTTTGTGATGTGTAAATCCAGGTCTACTAATCAATTCATTAACAAAATTAGAAGTTTCTATTTGGTAACACAGCAATAAATTAAAAATCTGACAATGGCCTTCAAAAATACTACAAGAGATAAAGGCACTTTTTCTGTAAACTTTTCACCAAAATGCAAGAGGAAGAAATTAAAACATTAGAGGAGGTGAAAATAGGGTATACTACCCGATTTAAATGCTCTCACAGAAATCACTACACGCCACTACATTACATCACAGCTTCTTTTTTTTTCCTTGCAAAAATAAAATTGAAATACAAGTCAACCACAAGATCCAAACAACTCTTAGCTGTTCAGTCCAACTGATCTCTAATAAAACCCTTCTTCATTTATAAGACTTCAGCAAAATAGTCTATCACTGCATGTTCCATTATTATTACACTGTTGCTGTGCCAGGCTGACTCAAAAAATAAGCAGAGATGCCCACCCTTAGTTGAGTAATTTCTTTCAAGCTAATGCGCATGAAAAACAGTTGCAGTAAAATATCAGCTGGGGCTGGGCATCAAAAGCTGAATGACTTTACTTTTTATTTCTTTTCCTATTATACCATGCGCAGAACATTTTTAAAATCCCTAGTACTACATACCCAACATTGGCAACATTGTGATCTTGGTTTAAAATAATGCATCCTAATTTGTAAAGTATGACATATTAAAGATACTACACATAGCCCTCTTCTTGACACTTTGACATTGACATGGCCTGACTTAACTTGAGGGTGATAAAATATCCAAAACACAGAAGTAACAGCTATTTTGATATGTTTTGGACAACATCTTTGCTATTATCCCTAACTGAACCCCTCAATACTACGTTGCGGACGCAAAATGGGGCTACTTGTAAGATGAATAAATTCGCCAAATACAAAAGAGGGCAGCCACAACAGACACACTTGAGTGTAGAATTTTACGCCGGCTGTCATCTCGGCGTACAAGAACAACTGGTGATGTAGAAGACACTGATTGCAAAATAGGCATCTTTGGCAAGTTCTGATGGTTTCTTTCTACTTGATATTTGCAGCATGGATCAAATTGCCATGATACAGTGTATAACCCTGAGCACAATAAAGACAGAACACCCAACGGGGTACAAACTAATGGTCGCTCCCATATCAAACCTTTGGAAAAAAAAAAGAGACAGAATTAGAGGGGCAATTTCACCTACCAAACAGCTTACAACATGGATAACACCACCATACACTTACCGGTGCACACAGCACTTAAGCCAGATATGATGGCAGTTTTATGAAGACAGTTTCCAAAAGCAATCCATCGTGCAGTTTCATCTCCTAGCCTAGAGGGCTCAATAACGATGATTTTGTAGCCTCGATCAAGGGCAAGTTCCAATTCATTTTCAAATTTCCACTGGGCATTTTCACTATCGTAAACTTCGTGTATAATTGCCACATCTCCAGTAGTAGGGAGACGGGAGCTGGAACAAAAACAAAATACAAAGCGTTATCAAACAAGAACAGAGAATAAAACTAAATAAAATTGAAAGTCGAACGCAGAGAATATCAATGGCAAAACCTAAACTAAATGTAAAAAAAATTGAAATGATAGACGAACACATAAAATAAATGAGCTCCAAAACCCCATGGGCTAAATACATTGTGGAGTGATTGTTAGCTGGATTAGCTGTGTCACAAGGACAAAAATATGTAACAAAAGTAACCACTGTACTCAAAGTCACCATGGCAGAGGATGAAAAACATGATTCAACAGATTACATCCAAAAGTGCCAAACTAAGTAAAATTGAACTGATCAAAAGGTACTAAAGCCTACCAAACCAAACTCCACGAAAGTCCCAAAAATACCTTCGATATATTGGTAAAATAACAATAATGTTCCATAACCCAGTGGGCAAGACAGCTTGCAGAACCTTGTTTTTATGCCCAATTTAAGGATTTCTCCACCATTTGAGGGTATAGTTTAGCTTTTAACTTCAAAATTAAAGATTGGCTAACGGACTAAC